CAAACCATTACCCCTAAAACTCTCCGCACTTTGAGGCCATGGGTACGCTATAAGTGTTGCAGTGAAATTCCACTATTCCGTCAGATAAGAGTAGGCTAAGAATTGACGATTAGTAGTGCTGCTGGCTAACTGCCTTCGTTTTAGTTTAACACTTCATAATTAGGAACATCTAGTTTTGTGTAAAACTTTTAAAAGAAATAAACTAAATTATAAAAATATATGTATGTGCTTGCCCCAATCATGTAGTCGAAGTGAAGCGATAAAAGACGAAGAGCTATAAAGTAACATTTAATTACAAAATTACAAATGGTGTTTACCTTCAGGATATTGTGCAAGATATTGAATAATTTTTGCCCAAGCATACACGGTCTTGTAGGGTAAATTTGATGTTAATTCAAGATCTTGGGGGGATCGTTTTACACGCCATTCATGGTGTTGAATGATCTTTCTGCTAATCAAATAGGGTCTTAAGAAGATCATGGCAGCTTCAGTGGTGAATCACGTAGACTAACTAGATGTTACACTAAGCAAAACTGGGAAGACTTTTTAGATAAAAATGGAAAGAAAACCAGATAATCCCAATTTAAAAAACACAAGTATAATTGTATCCTCACTATTATTGAATTGTCTTTAGTTATTGTTGGCATATAGCCCATCCAACTGTACATTTTCTAATTAATCAAACCTGACAGAACAGGAAACTTCTAAACTTACTGGCAATCAAAAAGATTGTGTGTACATTTTATTCTCAGAGCTAATATCAAAGCAATAGAAAAAAACATAATAATCGGAAGGGGGCAGATGTGGTGAGGATACACGTGTAGATGTTTGGCTTGTTCACCGTAAGTAACTTTAATCTCTGAATGGTCCAAAGAATTGTGAAAGGAAGCAGCATAGGAATGGCTCGCATATGTTAAAAGTTATATAAAAATAAACCAAATGTCTTTTTTTTCTACAAAAAAATTATATAAATTTATCATTATTGTTTTAGGGGAAGCTGATAAAAATGTCTGTTTTTTTTAAATATAACTTTAGTTAATGAGGTGATACAACTAAAATCAGTTATAGGCTATAAAAAATCGTTGTTTTGTTTGATCAGATATCAAAATATTTCTTTAGGTGCGTCACTAAACAAATTAGGAGAAACAAAGAATATGTTTCCAAACATTTACTGATAATGGCATTAAATTTAAAAGTAGAATAAATAATATATAGGAAACCATAACCACAAAATAGAGTAATGTCAAGTTTATCTAGGCCTTTTTTCTCTTTATGGTAATACAACGATTAACTGTGTTTCTTAACAGGATGGTTCCGGCTCAGATGATAGTAATAGCACTAGCTATGTTGCTTCCACTGTTAGGCTCTGGACCTGTATGGCATGAGACAGTAGACCCCATAGTAACCAAGTGTCAGAAGTCGTGGTGGGCCAACTTGTTTTTTGTTAACAACATTGTTCTCTCGGCTAAAGATAGGGTATGTATTGGTAATCTGACGGCTCATGGGTCGTGCTTATTTAGCTGAAAAAATATTTCTATTTTATCATTTAATCCATAAAATACTATGAATATCCTGGGCTTTTATTAAAAATCTTCACATTGAAGAAATAATTGGCTCAATATCACGTAGAATAGAGTATTGGCAAAATGTCACAGTTCAATTGAAAATACTTGTTTAAACTTTCAGAAAATTACTTATAATGAACTGGCAGTGTCATTTTGAAACTTTATTAGCTACACCATGACTAATAATCAAACTCAAAATATCATGGAACAAATAAAAATTTTCTCAACAAGACACGAACCAGTAGCTACATACTATTTAGTGAAAGATTTGATTCTTATTCAAGTGTTTATTATTCACATGCACAGTGTTTAGAACACTCCTGGTACGTGGCTTGTGAACTACAACTCTTCGTTGTGTCCATGGCAGTAGTGTGCCTAATGCAAAGGTAAGCTGTTGTGACAAAATCATTTCGGGGTAGTGTTTATTGTGCAAGTCATAATGGAGAATCTGTGGTATAAATCATAAAATTCGTATTTTGATATATTAATCACGATATTTATTTTTTGGCACGACTGATCTTGACAAGTCAAAAACTTCCTCATCCTTCCATTGGTATTCTAAAACAAACAAACATATAAAGTGGATGAAGTCATTTTGAACATTGTGTACATTATAAAATAATTAGTTTTTAAAACGATGCTTAGATTAATGAAGAAATTTAATATTTTCTTAGGTTTAAATTTTATTTGTGAATAACTCGTACATAACTTCTAATGAATCGAATATGTGTTTGTGCTTTCTCTTTTTAATGATATAAAGTTAAACCCTTATCATATTTCAAAAATTCATTTTTGATTATTTTGATAATTATACCCAAATTAGTTGGTATTGATGGAATGGACCAAACAGAAAATGAGTTATCCTTCTCAGCAGATTGAAATTTTATTCCACCGTAAACTGACTTAGCATTAAACAGTAACTTTCCAATTATGTTCATTGATTTTTATTTGTAGTGTGTTAATAACTGCATAAAATCAAACTTCGTGCAGTTTCTAGTTTAGCTGATTAAGATTTAAGTTTTCAAAGTTAAATACTTGTATAGTTGTATAGCGTAGTTGAGTAGTTAGAAATGTCTTGCTAGCAATCGGCAGGGGGGGGGGTAGCCCTTTAGCTTTGTCTGGCGTGTGGTAAGTCTCGAATTCAAACCGCAGACAAGAAAATATGTCGTTAAAAGAAATACCACACTCTCAAAGAAGTCACTCCAATGGTTTTTGAACACATTAATGTGTGACGGTCAAATTCCGTTATTCGGTCTGACTAGAGTAATCCAAGAGTTGGCGGTAGGTTGGTACTGATTAGCTGCCTTCCCTCTAAGCTATCACTTCAAAATTAGGGACGGCTAGTGCATGTATCTCTCATGTAGCCTTTCGCAAAATTCAATAAAGAAACAAACCATTAGAGAGAGAGCCGAATCCTAACCATTATTGGAGGAATTGGTAAATTGGAACACAATTCAGTATCATTTTACTTTACAGGCTAGTCCAATTTTATTTTTACTTGGTCAACCATTAACACCAGAAGATGTATTCCATTACGAATGCCATCATTTATAGACTTATGACATACATCTTTGAATAGCCAATCAAGAGGATAGTATTTTATAACAATAAGCCTTTTAGACAGTCAATTACTATCATGTCGTTTTTGAGATCGAGAGCTCCTTGCTTTTAACATTGTATGGCGGACTGTCCTATATATTTAACATTTATATGGCTTAAGCAATTATCTGACAAATTACGTGGTCAATCTATTTGTATGTGGAAATAAAAGAGGTCAAGTGACCCCACTTATGAGAAGGAGTCTTAATAAAGTACCTAGCTTGTGTATTTCACAAAATTTTAATATACTTGTCTGTGTCATGGCGATACATTTCTTGATTGGTTGATCAGTAAATTTCAGGTTGGGTTTGTACAACCAGTGATGTGTATATTGTAGAATGATATTTAAATCAATCCTAGTAATAATATTTTGGCATCTTTTCTTAAGAATTGGATTGTATGAATTACAGGAAACCCAAACTTGGAATTTTGCTGTCTTGCGTATTGACTGTTCTAGCGGTCATAATAACGGGAGTGTTGACCTTCCATTATGTCCTCCCACCCACAGTTCTGTTTGCTCAAGCTGACCAAAGGTACGCTAGAAAGATCTGTATAGATCACTGTTTTAAAATATAAAATGTATCAAAAGTTAAAAAAACATTTAAGATAAAGTGAAGTATATGCTTAATTTCTTATCAACGGTAGCTAGAAAATTGAAAAAAAATATTATTTAGGACTATAACTCCCAAAATATGTAAAGATTTGACCGTATCTACATGTTAGAAAGTACTGAAAATATATTAAGAAATAAACAATAATCCAAATAAAAACTATTTAGTGGATAAATTGTAATAATAACTACAAAACTCAACTTTTTTTTTTCAAAGTTAAATAGCTTTAGGTATAATAAGCTATCAATAACAAAAGTAACAACCGAGCTTAATAATTTGTGTTTAGTACGTTTTCTTTCAAGGCAGAACGGGGTGGGGGAGGAGGAGGAGGAGAAGCAATAAAGCTCCTATAGAATAATATCATGGTAAATCTGGCGAAATATTGTATATATGTTTATCGTTTTCCTCACCAGTTTCAATTCTTTAATAAAACTATAGAACCGTAAAATATTATATACAAAATTTCAGTAGCAGATTTGGAGAACACGAGATGCATCTTTTACTTTGTATGTTCAACTCCTCCTGTAATTGTATAGGGAATACAAACGTCAACAAAAATTAAGGTATCTGTCAAGAGAAGTCTATCAATTATTCTGTTATTGGTACCGTTATCTTCTAGCATAAATATATATATGTGTGTGTATGTTTTGTATTGGTCTGAAACAACGGTTCCTGATCTGTTATTTGCGACTCGATGGTGGATCGAACAGTAAAACACAGTAAAAAAGCAAATGTACTATTATTATAACATCATTTATAAGAGCGCTGTTAGATTTTAACGAACTATAAATAAAAAAGCAATACCCTTCTCGCCCACAGTGGCTAAGCAATAAGTGTGAGGGTTTAAAACACTAAAATTCGGGTTTTGATACCCATGGTAGGCACTGCACAAATAGTCCATTGTGTAATTTTTGCTTAACACACACAAACAAACAAAATACCCTTCCCCATTTGAGCATATGTCCCACACATAACATTTGGCTACTCAGATGGTTAGAAAACTAATCTGAAGCAAACTATTTTAAGCTTCGTCCGTTATTAATCACGTTGTGGACCTGTAGTTTTTCACTGCTAACTATTATAGTGCTTTATTTACACTATTGCGGGCTCCCCAGTGACACAGCGGTATGTCTGCGGACTTACAACGCTAGAAATCGGGTTACAAACAAACAAATTATATTGCGGTAAGTCTGAGAACTTATAAACGCTAATAAGCATCGTACACATAGTGTATGCCTTATTGTGTTGTTTTGTGCTTAACAAAAACTAGGCCCGGCATGGCCAGGTGATTACGGCACTCGACTCGCAATCTGAGGGTCGCGGGTTCGAATCCCTGTCACACCAAACATGCTCGCCCTTTCAGCCGTGGGGGCGTTATAATGTGACGGTCAATCTCACAATTTGTTGGTAAAAGAGTAGCCCAAGAGTTGGCGGTGGGTGGTGATGATGGCTAGCGCAGATAGCCTTTGCGCGAAATTTAAAAAAAAACAATTAACCAAAACTTCCACTATTAGCTTTATCGAAAGAAACTTAGTGTTCTTGATTCTAGTTCTTATAAACTACATGAAGTTACGACACATTTACTTTGAATATTTTATAGAAAAGTAGTTTTTACAAATTCATTTTAAATAAAATTTATACAAAATATCTAATCTACTCCACAGCCACGTTACTTTTAACAATTTAGCGTTTCGTACTTGGGGTGCTAGAAACTTTAGTAAAGTATTCACAGAAATTAATTTCATCAAGCTTAGTGGGGATATTTTAAAAAATTCTGTAAAGTATGTTCATCGTATTTTGTTGTTGTTTTCAATCAAGTTTCTTTTGACTTATTTTGATCTATTTCTGCAGTGAAAGGCTGACTTCCGAGGACCTGACTTATCATAAGCCTTACGCCCATTTAGGTGCCTTCTGCACGGGGCTTATTATAGGCTACAAAATAGCTAAAAAGTCTGTGTTCAACATCAAACCGGTATGTTTAGCTCTTTGATTTATCGCATTATGTTTTCTGCTATCTGTTTTTATTTTCTTTTGGGGATTGTATTATTTTTTATCGCAGGGGAAATTTGATCCAAGTTGAGTTATGTGGGTCTAGATCCAACTTGGACATTATATTTTCTCCCGAATGACCACTTCCCTTTGGCAACGCTCCAACTCTTCACGGTTACTAAGGCAATGTATCAGTAATATATTCACAAATAATGCATTAACTCAGGCAACAGTTTTTCCTTTCGTTAACTTACGCGCTGTGACGACGTTAGAAGGAGACGAAAGGGCGGCTAACAACATTGAAGTATTTGTCTGCCTTCCCAAAAATTTACATTAAAAGCTACAGCTCACATAATACCATGTCGTCAGGAAACAGTTAAATGTAGACCAGAAAACCACACCTAACGTAACATCATCCAATCTCTGGTCAGTCCTACTAACCTTACAGCCAATGAGAGTAAGAACTGACAACATTTGAAAACTCGTTGTGAGCCGTCCCCTGATGGGTGAACGGTAAGTTTACGGACTTACACTGCTAAAATCCAGGATTCGATCCCCAGAGAAGCTCTTGGCTTCTCCTTATTATGCCTCCAAAGTGTCCCTTTCCTCAATCATAATAATCGTCCACAACTACAAAAACACACGCTTGGTTCCACACCTTGCTTGCCGCGAGTTAGGAAAAAACATTTCAGCTTTAAATTGAATGGCACACAGAGACTTGTAGGTGTTTAATTGTGATACGCTATTAAGTGCTAATACGCCAGAATTCACTGTTTAGTTTTAGATTTTAAAAGTGTTTATAAGACTGATTGAATAGGAATAAAAGAGGACCTGTTTATCAAAGGCAACCCACAATCCCCCTAACACCTACCTCCCTATTCCCCAAAAGTCTTGCCTTACGATGCTTGAAAAGTGCCTTTTTTTTTTCAATGAGACCCTGACCTCCTAACTAGCCCAATAATAGTTACTTTAAATCTGACGATACTGACTCTAGCCAATAATAGCTGCTTTAATTCTGACGATACTGACTTTAGCCAATAATAGCTGCTTTAATTCTGACGATACTGACTCTAGCCAATAATAGCTGCTTTAAATCTAATGATACTGACTCTAGCTATTAGGATATCTTAAAATAGTTGTTCCTAAATTAATAGTATTTATAAGGAAAGTTGAAACCCACTAATAACTCATGTAAGTAGACTAATTTAAAAAGGCTCGGCAAAATAGACTTTCTAAACGGAATACGCTACAGATTCAAAATTTAAAAAAATCAAAAATTGGTCCACGAACAGAATACCATTATACGATTTTTACACATATAGAACTAGTATTCCAGAAACTAAGGGAAAAAAACACTTTGTCTAGCAATGGTTACGTGCGACCGTACTAACCACAATGTCAGAGACTAGCTAGGTTACAAAGTAAGCTATAGGAAAGTGTGAAACACATTTACGTACAACTGTATTGAATAATTTACTAAAAGATGTCGGAAAACTCAAGAAATCAATTCACGAAATACGGTATATTGTTCGTGTTATTTATCAATTAAATAACTAAAGTTCGCCACTATAATTAAACAGTAAATATTTTTAATAATTAAAAAGTTTTGTTAAGGAAATAATCGCATTAAGAAATGTTTCGTGCTTCCGACTGAGGATGTATTTTGCTTTGTCATTATTATGTGGCTTTGCTATTAAATGCACACAGTTATTATATTTTTTGGTGATCACCTCGAAAATAAAAAATGTTTGACAAAATGTAACTATGTTGATATTCATCTGTTAATTGTAATGCGCTTCTATATCTGTAGAGCGTTGGTTCAAAATGAAATACAATCTGCGGGTCGCGGGTTCGAATCCCCGTCCCACCAAACATGCTCGTCCTTTCAGCCGTGGGGGCGCTATAATTTGACAGTCAATCCCACTATTCGTATATAAAAGAGTAGCCTAAGAGTTGGCGGTGAGTGGTAATGACTAGCTGCCTTCCCTCTTGTCTTACACTGCTAAATTAGGGACGGCTAGCGCAGATAGCCCTCGTGTAGCTTTGCGTGAAATTCAAAAAACAACAAACAAACAATCAAAATGAAATAAATTCGAAAGGATAACCAGAATCCTTTCGAGATTCGCTGCTGGAGTCCCAACAGACACAGAGTTGTTCTATGTTTTCACTCCTATTAATTTTGTTTAAATTTTTAAAATAATTTTAAAGTACAAAAAGTTCCAAAAATTCATACACAAAATATATGTATATATATAGAGTCGTTATTTAGTAAAAAAATGAAAAAAACTACTTTTCAAAATCCTAGAATTTTATATTAATTAGATTTCTATGTTATTTCTTTCATTAGTGAAAGAACTGTCCATTGGACTGCCAACATAATTTAAACTCAGAAATTTTGAATATAATTTTGTTTTTTATATTTCCTTTAGTATTTGTTGGATAATGTTCGAACAATTATAATTCATTAGAATGTTGTATCAATAACTTATTGGATTTTATATTGTAGTATATACAGTTAATCCTATGGCTGCTAGCTATAGGCTGTAACCTTTCCCTGGTTCTGGGAATTCATCCGTGGAACAAAGGCAACGAAGCGATTGACACAGCGGATTCGGCGATTTATGCCGCCACTCACAGAACACTCTGGGCCGTTGGGGTCGGTTGGATGGTCTTTGCTTGCATTACTGGAAATGGAGGTAAGTTTGAAAATATCGGATGATTAGAAATTGAAGGCTAGGCTAGACAAGGTTCAAGAACAGGTTTAAGAGCAAGGCTGAGACTTGTAAGACCGAGAAATATAAGGTTTAGTAGTTAAACAGTAAAGAATAAGGCTGAACATAAGACGAAAAACACGAATATGTAAGGTGTAAGTCTAGAATTGGTAAGACGTAACACCGGGAAATATAAGGTTTAGTAGTTTCCCCCTTGTGTTCAGCCTTATTCTTTACTGTATAACTACTAAACCTTATATTTTCTGGTGTTACGTCCTACCAATTTTAGACTTACACCTTACATATTCGTGTTTTTCGTCTTATGTTCAGCCTTATTCTTTACTGTATAACTACTAAACCTTATATTTTCTGGTGTTACGTCCTACCAATTTTAGACTTACACCTTACATATTCGTGTTTTTCGTCTTATGTTCAGCCTTATTCTTTACTGTATCGTGGGGGGGAGGAGAGCCAGAAAATTATTCAGGTGCTTGTTTTCAAAACACAAACATTTAATTAGTTTCTTATCAAGAAATTGTGACCTTTATATGTCGATTTTTGTCTTACTTTGTCGTCTTCCTTAAAAACCTGTATTTTTCAACACCATTGTTTCTATGTTTTGTAGGTATCATTAATAGGATTCTGTCTTGGAGAGGGTGGATACCGTTAAGCCGGTTAACTTTCCTCACTTACCTTCTACATCCTCTGGTCCAGATGACCTTAATAGCTAGTGTCAAAGAACGCCTTCAGGCGGACCAGTACATTGCAGTAAGTTTTGTAGAAATAATTTTATTGAAAAACGAAAAAGCATCTGACATAAAAGTTACATACTCACAAGCAGAAGTTTGTTACTAACAGCACCTCTCGCCGATATGTTAGCTTTTTATATGATCTTTACACTGAATTATATAGGTCAATGTAATTTCAAAGGAGGTAAATTCGTCTCGTTGTTGTAATGAACAGAATGCCAATTTACTAATTTGAAGAATCTCCTGTTGAAAGTCCTTGACGTAGGAAAGTCTATGGATAAGAAAAATTTCTACAACTTCTCATCATTTTAAAATACCATATTTTAGGAGATTTCCACACGTGTTATGGTGCGAATGCCTTTTAGAGGCTGGAGAAACATGATGATAATTACACTTGTTGCAAGACATTACTATTAAGACTATTATATTTTTAAACACTAAATTCTTTATCTAGTCTCTTAGGTGTTTTCAGTAATTAGAGTAGTGTATAATAATAGTATTCCAACCACACTACATTCGCCATATCCATTGCTGACGACGCGATTCACTCAATCCAAAGCTCTTCAAGCCGACTGAGATACAACACAGTTGCTATTGTTGTAACAAATAATTTATATAATGTTTGTTGTGTCCTGACACGCCTGATGAGCTCTGGACTAAGAAAAACGCGTCATCGACAATGTATATGAAGTATAGTGAGATTGGAATACGATTATTATACACTATTCTAATTATTGAAAATACCTAAGGGACTAAATAAAAAACGTAGTATTTAAAAATATATTAGGCTTAATACTAATGTCTTATGACAGGTATAATATATTTAAACATCCATATAGTGCTTGTTGAAATTCCGTTGCAGGATCCAAAAACTCACAGTTTTTATATGATATCAAATACCGGATTTTTTAAATTTAGTTTCAAGAATTAGCCACACAAAAAGTAATTAAAAATTGCATTTCCACTTTTTACATTTAGAAATGTCACATGAAATATTTTTATTACACATGCATTACATTGAAGTTTAAGTGAATCTGAATTCCAAGATATTTCTATGTACAACGCATGCTTCAGTGATCATATTGAACTTGTATTTGATAATATTGTGATTTCAAGATTCTGACAAAATATTATAATATTTAATTGAAAATCATTTTTGCACTAACCCCTTCATCATTTTGTTTTGTTCAGCTTTACTTGTTTAGCGGATTGCTGTTAATATCGTTTTCAATGGCGTTGTTCGTTTCCCTGTTCCTGGACATGCCGCTGCGACAGTTGGAAAATCTTTTCATCGCCAGAATAAGGAAAGGCTTTGACTCCACATATGACCTCGATGGGAGGACGGAGCCAGGAAAAGTAAAAGATAAAAGCTACCTTAGAACAGATGTGCAAGATGAACATACAAGAAAACAAGTTTCAAATGACAAAAGATTTGGTGAAAGTTTTGACGGCAAAATGTTTGTTTGCCACTTATGAATGTTTCTGTTTATTGTGAGCTATAATCTAAGTTACATAATAATAAGAAGACGGTTACATATATTTATATTTTGTAGCTATACCTGCAACGCATACACAAACGTATTTGAATTTGAAATGAAAATAATTTCCTCTAAAAGATTATTTAATTTGTTATGTGGGCAATTTATGACACGTTGATAAACGAGTGTATAAATCAAAGCCCTTGCTAACAAATATCTGGAATTTGCTGTTTTTATTTTCTTGTTTGTAATCAACAGAAGTATTCTAAAAGGCCTAAAAACCTGTCCTAGCCCTAGAATTACCGACAGCACCAGCTTTAAAATTATTTATGAAACAAATAGTTTTTGGTTCATTTATACCCGTTGGCTAAAGTTTCCCAAATTATATATGAATTGTACAAAAATACCTCCAGTATTGTAATCAATTCCACTAATCATTGTTCTGCTGTCTAGTTTATAGTACTGGGAAAATCGATGATTTCAGCCAGTTATTTAGACTGAGTGTTTCAACATTCAAAAACGTAAAGTTAATCAAAATAGTACAATATATAGATCCCACCAGTTGTGAATAGTATACAAAATGTCGGGAATTTGAGGGTTTAAAGATAGTGAAATATAAAATCTACTTTTTGAAGTATGGGTTTCTCTTATGCTATAACAATACACACGCAATGGAGAATTCATCTCTAAAACAATATCTGATGTTTAGAGTGACTCTATATTCGGTTATTATGAGATTGACTATAATTATTTGATCTTAGTGCAAAATTCATGTTTTCCAGTACTCTACAATAGTCGTACACCAAAAGTATAACCATAGTGTTAAGAAACAGAAGAAAAATGGCTATTGATAGACGTATTTACATTCGTATTTCTAAAGTAAAGACTCCTATGTAATGTTCTTTGTATGTACATTACAATCAATTTTAGTGCTGTTTTAGCCTCTCCTTGCGATGGACAGTACTAGGGTATCTTTTTTTTTGAGTGTTTTGGAGCCCTTGTATGCAGTGATAGTTTAAACATCGTATGTCATGTCACTTGTCAGTTAGTGAAATAATTCAGTATTTGTAAGCAAGAATATACAGCCGCCTTTTTCACTACCTAACATTGAGTAACTTTGTAAAATGTGTGTGTGTGTGAGAGAGAGAGAGAGAGAGATTTTGACTAGAATTTGAAAACCCTTTGACGACCGTTAGGAGTGTTTGTGTCACCTTTGGGTTTCTTCCCCACTAGCGTCCCTACTC